CAATTTATTGCCTCTCGATACTGTAAACGCCCGGATATATGACCCTAGGGTATTTTTTCATATACTACCTAAAAAGGGGGGTAATTCTTGTACCCGGGTGTTTTCTCGTACACATATAGAATTCAAATTTCGTCATGTAGTTTTGTTAATCGTTTACATTCCTTACTCATTGTCGAGTACTCACGCCCAATCTCGCATTTTGTGCGCAAAAATCAAGTTGTCGTGACATGTTGGAATTTGATTCGTTCAAGTGAGCATTTGATATGGCGGGAAAACCCTTGGGAAACAGATTGGTAGCGATCCGATTCGTCCTAGTATCGATCGACGGTCTGGATTTTGTCTCCAGATTCAACATTGTGTGGAAACTGTTGACTTCGTCTCCATTAGACGGAAATTTGCCACTTGGCGAAGTTCCACCCCACCCCACGCTTCTGGGAGTGTTCAAGCCCTCACTACTCACCTTTCACAATGCTTTATGGTTCTCCTTTCGCGCTACTGTTTCCCCGCAGCCCCCATTCTATTTCCTTCTTGCTCGCTTCCTGCCATACTTTACATTTGCTGCAGAAATCACGGGGAAAAAAATACGAAGAGGGTCTTAAGACGGCTACACTGAAGATGGGAGGGTCTTGTTAGTCGATTACCATAATACAGGACCCACGCGCCAAAAACAGCCTAGAGGTCCTCAATAAAACCGGACTTATATCCAAGCGTTTACGGTAATATGTGTTACATGGCCTAGACAACCTCGGTTAGGGTAAGAGGTGAGCAGTGCCAGCAGCATTGCCGCAAGGCCTACAATTGGATCGCACGGCATTAATCATGCGCGCCTTTTTAGAATACTAGAATCTCTAGAAACAAGAGAAAACAAGCAAGGTATAGGGTTGGGTTGTACTCTCTAATAACATACACTTATTCTAGCCTATAAATTCTACGTGCAGAATGTATGTATAAGTCGACAGACCCCCTAGGCTAGATAAGGGGTAGTGCTCAGCAAGAAGCACACAGCTCCGGGTAGCACTACTTGTCCAACCTCTGAGACAGGGGTCCGAAGGCCAGTCAGAAAGAGTACAAACAAGATAGGAGGAAGTCAGGGTGGCACTACTAGTCCGGCCACAGGAAGAGGAGCCACAAGGCAAGTCTGAAAGATATGTATAAAGAGGAGTACACAATCAAGGTCCTAGCAAGCGAGAGTCTACAAGAACTAGACCAAGCTGCAAACAGTGCCGCTGATAATATTTAGGCGCAAGCGCCATAGTAAAGATATCAGCTGTGTTGGAACTGGAGGCCAAGTGTACTACGCGGGCATGGCGACGCTGCTGTAGCTCTCGCAGGAGGAAGTACCACAGCTGGATCTACTTCGCTCTGCCCTCAAGTCAAGGCTCCTAACACAGGAGGATCATGGCCCTGTTGTTAGCATACAGGACCGGGGCAGAGCTAGGCTGCTCACCTAAGTCGGAGAGCAAGAAGGTCAGCCAGCGGAGCTCCTGTGCCACCATGGCACCTGCATAGATCTCAGCCTCACAGCTAGATTGTGCAACAGACGACGAGCGAGTGGACCTCCACAAGATGGCACCTGAACCAAGGCTAAAGCAGTAGCCCTAGGAGGACCTAAGGGTCTCAGCGTTGTGTGCCCAAGAAGCGTCTGTGTGCCCGGTAAGGACCACCAGCCTGCGTCCTCCTAGCACTAGCCCCATGCCCGATGTACTTGCTAGATAATGCAAAACCTTCTTAGCGGCCGACCACTGCTGTGGTCGGCGTCTGCCTGTGGCCACAAAGCAAGCCAGGATGCTGAGAGGGTATGCGAGATCAGGACGAGTGCAAGTCATCAGGTACATGAGGCAACCCACCAGCTCAGCATAAGGATCACTAGGCTCTATTGACTCCTCAGGAACTGGAGCTGAGAGCCTGTGGTCTACTGGTAGAGGTGTGGGCTGTGCGGAGGAGAACTGAAGACCAAACCTCAAGGACCTGGCGCACCAAGTGTGACTGTGTGAGAGTGATGGTGCGCGCTGCTCTGTCCCTGGAGATCTGCAAGCCAAGGTAGCGGCGCAACCCTCCTAGGTCAGTGCAGGTGTGTCTCCTCAGCAGCTCGGCCTTCACGGAGGCCAGCGCGTCTCTGTCTGCAGTAGTGAAGACCAGGTCGTCTACGTAGACAAGGATGTAGAACGGGGTATGGCCGGCACGAACGGAGAGCAAAGGGTCTGCAGAGGAGGGAAAGAACTGCACGCCATCTAGCGCAGCATGCAGCATATCATGCCACTCACTTGGCGCCTGTCGCAGGCCGTAGACTGGGCGTCGGAGGAGCCACTGGGACCCAGGAGGGAAGGTATCAGTGAAGCCCTGCGTTCGGCGCAGGTAGACCTGCTCGTGTAGGCTGCCCTGAAGAAAAGCAGTGGAGAGGTCTAGGGAGTGGAGCTTGTAGTCACGCTGTGCTGCTACGTGCAGCAGCCCCCGAAGAGTAGTCATCTTCGGGGTCGGGGCGAAGGTCTGAAAGAAGTCCACCCCCTCGTGCTGACTGAAGCCTCTATCCACATAGAGCACCTTGAACACAGGCGGCTCTCCAAGGGGGCGCTTCACCTTGAAGAGCCATCGGCCATCGACTACGTTCACCCCACGTGGGGGAACTGCGTCAACGTAGGTGCGAGTGGATCTCCAAGATGCCATCTCTTGCTCCATGGCAACTAACCACTGAGAGGCCCAGGGTCGCGAAGTCGCCTCAGCGTAAGTGCGAGGGGTCGGGATGTCAAGGTCGTCTAGGTCACCCTCAGGGACTAGCAGCATGGAGCAGAGATCGGGAGCGGCCTCGGACAGGAACGCAAGCTCATGCTACCTGTCCTCTAGGACGTCACTACCAAATGCAAGAGCACCCTCGACGAACGGAGGACGGGCAGAGTGAGAGACCAGAGCGGTGGCATAGTCAAGGTGGCGGGTAAAGGCGAAGTCAGCGATAGCAACAATAAGAGCGTCAAGATTCGAGAGGGGAACAGACGGGTCAGTAACGAGTGATGCAAGGACCCGAGGAACAAGTGGACGAGTTGCACGAAGGTAGTCAGGCAGAGGGGGAGGCGCGACAGCGAGCTACGATGGAGGAGGCGACGGCAAGAGGGGAGGACGAGACACGTGGGAATGAAGCAAAAAAAGGTGAGAACGCTGAACAAGGGAGACAGGACGAGCACAAGAGGGACGGCGAGACTAGGCGTGAGACAGAGGCGTCGGGTCAGGAGACACTGGAGGAGTAACAGGAGGCAAACGAGGTGGGAAACGAGCCGGGGAAGAGTCCGGCAGAGGAAACACAGGACCGTGGACAGGAAGGGGAGGAGGTGGCACGGGAGGTGCAGGCAAGTGGTCCGGGGAGGGAAAGCCGAGCAGGTGAAGGGCGGACACCTGCGGCGACTGCTGCTGCTGCTGCTCGACGCCGACACCTGGACTGCCAGATGCACTGCGGCTACCTCTTGAACCCTCCACTCCAGCACCCCCAGAGCGAGAACTCTCTCCAACATCACCCCGAGCCCGCCGGGACAAGCCACGACATGAACCCCAGGACTAGCACCTTCCTCAACGCCAGCAACCACAGAGGCCAGGAATGGCTGTTGCTGCTGCGACGGCGGCGGCGGCTGCGGCGACGGCCGCGGCGGCTGCTGCGGCAGTGACGGCAGCTGCGGTGGCGGTGACTGGGACAGCGGAGGAGGAGACACCCGGGGAGAGACAGGCGGCAAGCATTGGGCCGCAATGCCACCAGGGTTAGTCGACTCCTTGACCGGGACAACCGACGGGAGGGGAGTGACGTGAGACACACCAGACGCAGCAGGACGGGGAGAAAGTTGAGCAGGGGCTACCAGGGGAGTGGGGACCAGAAACAGGGGAGGGGAAATCGGAAGACCTCAGTGGGGAAAGCGGCGGTAAAAGGAGACAGACTCGTCGAAAGTGGCGTTACGGGAGTGAAAGAAGCGGTGAGGCGGCGGGTGGTAAAAGTGCCAGTCAAAGGAGTCCACGGGGAAACCGAGGAAGACACAAGGGACAGTGCGGGCAGTGAGCTTGTCCGTGCCAGAGGCACGAATGTGAGTGAGGCAGCCTCAGCCGTGGAATGCGGACGCGTCACCAGGGAGCCCGGTCCAAACAAGGGTCGGCGAAACCTACGGCCGCTGAGAGCGCTGCCAGAGGTTAAGCTGGTGAGCGGCGTAGCGAACGGCGAACGGCCACAGAAAATGGGGTGCATTGGCATGAATCATGGAGGTACAAGCCACCTCCATGACCAAGCCGATGCGTCGCTTAGCGACCCCATTCTGCTGCGGGGAGTCCGGTAGGGTGTATGACTGGGTGATGCCCTCCGCACGACAAAACTATCCAAGCCGACCAAAGGCAAACTCGCCGCAACGATCGGAGTGGAGACACAGCACAGGGAGACCGCGGTGGACGCGCGCAGCAACGATCCATAGGATAAGAACGCCAGGCACACCGGCCTTCCGCTCGAGAGGAAACACCGTGTTGTAGCACGTGAAGTCATCGACGAGCACAAGAAAGTAGCACTCGCGATGCGGTCCAGGGACAGGGGCCGGGCCCCAGACGTCCAGGTGCAGGGTCTGGAGAGGTGCGGTGGCAGGACGAAGCGAGGAGGAGTGAGGAGCACGACGGAGCCGGCCCTTGATGCAGGGCGTGCACAGCAGCACAGGTGAGGGAGGGAGGGCAAGAAGCAACGCAGGGAGACCTAGGACGAGACCGTGCTCAGACATGTGACGCAGAACCGGGAGCGCGGGGTGACCTAGGCGATTGTCACAGGATGGAATGTGTCGAGGAAAGGTTGCACTATCGATCAGTACAAGGCGCTTTTATACTTCCAGAGTATATCAGGTAACCAGGTTTATCTTATCCTAAGGGCATGGAAGATGCAGCTCTACTTTCGACAAATTGGCCTCTTGAAGCTCATGATTGGAACGGAGCCAAGGCCAAAGGAAATGGCAGAGCAAGCGGACTGGGATGAACGTTCATCTGCTGGGTACTATCTACTGTCACAAAGCTTGGAGCTGAACCAGAGGCATCACATCATGCATCTGCTACCGGAAATTGATTGTGGGCCCAAGGCATGGGCAGTGCTCAAGGACCTGCACGCTCCGACATCGGTTGCCGCTTCTCTCATGCTGGATCGGGAGCTGTCCATGCTGCGGTTGAGCGAGAATGAAGCTGTGCAGCCCGTACTGGACAAGATGAGGGAACTCTACGCGAAATTGGCGATTGCAGGCATCACGTACCCAGAGCAGACAAAGTGTCTCAAGATGCTCAGCCTGCTGCCGGAGTCTTGGCTGCAATTTATAAGCGGACTCAGCTTGCCACAAAACCAAAGTCAATGGACATTGGAGTGGATTCGCACCAAGATTCTGGAAGAAGATTTTCGTCGCTATACACTGCGCGGAGGTGATGACAGCACCAGCGGCTATGCCATGCAAGGGACATGGAGGGATCGAGGGCGTGGCAATCGCGGTCGCTCTTACCACAGCCAAGGTGGTCGCGGGACTTGGAACCAGCGGGGCGTGGTGGCGCTGGTGCAAGAGGAAGAGGTGGTCACTCCAACAATGACAACAGTGAACCACGCTTGAGGGGAGAGTGCTGGTATTGCAAGGAAGAAGGGCATCCATGGTTTCGCTGCCCTACCAAGCCCGACTGGTGGACCCCTTGGAACCAATCGGAGAAGGGGAATGGAGGAAAACAACCACATGGAGGTGCCAACATGGTAGCTGATCCTGCTGAAGAAACCTCCAAGGATGACAGAGGAATGCGAAATGAGGAGAGGAATGCTGGACAGTTCTACCATGTGTGTGACAAAGATGACAGTGGCACAGCTGTTGCAAGGGCTGGAGAGGAATTGCACCCGCTTGACATGTGGGTCATGGACTCTGGTGCTGCATGGACAATGACACCACGCAAGGACTTGCTGGATGCTGTGCGAGCGCCTCCAATCTCTGAAGTGCGCTCAGCATCCGGACATGCAGTGAAGGTCGCTGGAGTTGGTCGAGCTGCATTCAGAGCACCTGATGGTGGACTGGTTGTGCTGAAGGATGTGTTACTCGTACCGGGGCTGAAGGCCAACCTGATATCGCTGCGCAAGCTAGGCCAGGCCGGAGTCAGCACCACCACCAATGGATCCAAAACATTCAAGGGGCTGCGAGGAGATCGTGTGTTATGGGATTTACACGAAAGCAGAGATGTCTTCAGATCCATGTGGCAGATCCCTGCACTGATATGGGAATCAACAAAGAAGGAGTTGGGAGAAGTAAAGGCGGGTTCTGGAGTCCAGGGGGAGTGTAATGCAGTTAGTGCTGCAGGAGTGACGGTTTCTGCAAGGTCGGGGGAGACTGATTGGGAAACCGCACACAGGCGTCTAGGGCATGTGGCTATGCCATTGCTGCAGCAACTGCATAAGGAAGAAGCAGTAAAGGGGCTCAAGCTTTCTGGGCAACCAAATGCTACCAAGTGCGAGACGTGTCTGCTGAGCAAGTTCACACGGTTCCCCTTTCACGGCGTAGCTGGGAAAAGCAAGGCAGCACTGGAACTGGTGCACATGGACCTCGTAGGACCTTTTCCAGTCCGAGGAAGTAAGGGGGAAAGGTACTTCCTGACAATAGTTGATGACTGGAGTCGGCTGATGTGGGCATACCCGTTGAAGCAGAAGGATCATGCTGCCTCAACAATACGAGATGATTGGCTGCCGTTCGTCGAGCGACAATCTGGGCACCCATGCAAGAGCATCAGAACCGACCGAGGTGGAGAGTTTCTAGGAGGAGATCTGACTGCGTGGCTCAAGAAACAAGGCATTGAGCATCAGCTAACGACGTCCTATACCCCTCAGTCAAATGGCGTTGCTGAGAGGGCTAATAGGACCATCCTGGAAACTGCGCGAGCGCTGCTGATCGAATCAGGGCTGGGGAACTCCATGTGGCCTCATGCGGTGAGGCATGCTACAGTGGCAAGGAACCGCGTACTCACAAAGGTGGCTGATGATATGTGGGTGCCGCTGGAGAGGTGGCTTGGAAAGAAGCCTCCAGTGGACATGCTTCGAGTGTTCGGATGCATGGCAGTGGCGCATGTCCCTAAACCGTACAGGACAAAGCTTGGAGCATCTGCACTTTGGTGTGTGCACCTTGGGCTTGCGGCAGAGAGCAAGGGGTGGCTACTCTGGGAGCCCTCAAAGAATGTGCTGTTTGATAGTCGGGATGTCAAATTTGTGGAGAACATCATGTATGGCAAGTGGGAGAAGCAGCCGGAGGCAAGGGTCACCCAGCAGCTGGAAGAGATCACTATGCACTTCGATCTGTCCGAACCTGAGGACAGCGAAGTCACTGCGCCAACGGCAAGCGGTACTGATGAAGGAAGCAATGAGGATATTGCAGCTGATGCTGAAGTCAAGGATCCGGAGCAGCAGCAGCAAGAGGCTTCCAAAACACCAAGTCTGCCAAAGCGAAGGAAACAGATTGGTGGGGGGACAAAGGATTGGGTGAAGGTGAAAGAATGGGTAAATCCAACCATCTACCCTGCACGTACCAGAATGGCAATGAGAAAGCTGTTGAGCTCCACAAGTGGAGGAGCCACAACTGAGCAGCAGGAACAGGCTCAAGGCGAAGATGCAGTGCTGTTCTTGGGTGATGACCAAGAGTCAGATGACAAGGAGCCTGCATACTGCTTTTACGCACCAATACAACCTCCGAGCATGGATCATGCGCTAGCCGGGCCTCAACGGGGGAAGTGGCTCGTTTCAAGAGATGCAGAGTACAACAGCAAGATGGAGAATCACACATGGGACCTGGTGTACTTGCCAAATGGGAAGAAGGCAATACAGTGCAAGTGGCTGGCAAAAATCAAGACGGATGAGAAAGGAGAGCCATCAGTTTACAAGAGCAGGCTGGTGGCAAAGGGGTTTCAGCAGAAAGAGAAGGAAGATTACAAAGAAGTGTTTGCCCCAACTGCTAAGTCTCCAACGCTACGTGTGCTGCTGGCGGTAGCTGCTGTGCGCAAATGGAAGGTGAAGCAGATGGACATCGTAACCGCTTTTCTGTACGGCATTGTGGAAGAGGAGGTGTACATGGTTCAACCACCTGGCTATGAGGATGGAACCGGTCGTGTCTGCAAACTTAACAAGGCCATCTATGGCTTGAAGCAGGCCCCGAGATGCTGGTACAACAGGCTGGCCAGTGCACTGGAAGGGATTGGATTCCGTGCGAGTGCATGCGACGAGAGCCTGTTCCTGATGGGAGAGGGGGAGTCACTTGTGCTTCTGCTGGTGTACGTGGATGACATCCTGCTCTTCAGCAGCAGTGACAAGGAGATCGATGGGGTGCAGCGGAAGCTCACAGAGCAGTTCAAGTGCAAGTCACTTAGAGAGGCAAGGTACTACCTGGGAATGCATATTGAGCGGGATACTGAACGTGGCTGGCTCAAACTGCATCAGGGACAGTACATCAACACCTTGGCTGAGAAGTACTCTCTGCAGGAAGAACGGGAAGTGGTCACACCTTTGCCTTCCGAGTTCAAACTCATAAAGGCAGCTGAAGGAGAAGGAGTTGAGAGTGAAGACCAGAGGCAATTCCAATCCATGGTCGGGAACCTACTCTACGCTGCTGTGCATACTCGGCCTGACATCAGCTTTGCTGTGGGACAGCTGGCTCGAGTAGTGCAAAATCCAACAGAAGAGCAGTGTGGTGCAGCGAAGAGAGTGGTGCGCTACCTCAAGTCATACCCTACAGTGGGAGTACAGTATTCAGCCTCTGCTCAACTCAGTCAAAAAAGAATTGAAGTCCTCAAAGAGAAGGGGGAGCAGCTCGGAGAAGGAAAGGTGTTCCTTTCCTGTTTTGCTGATGCCACGTGGGCTTCTGAGCATGAGGATTCATCATCAGTTGGTGGATACATCTGCATGGTGGGAGGTGGGCCTGTAAGTTGGAGGTCCAAGAAGCAGTCTGAGACGGCACTATCTTCAGTGGAATCTGAGTACATGGCGATGTTTCATGCGGCAAAAGAAATCATCTGGCTAAGGAGGCTCTTGAAGGAGATCGGCCATGAACAGACTTGTGCGACACCTCTGTTCAGTGATAGCAAGGGAGCCATTGCCAATCATCAATTTGTGCTTGGATTGTGCATGACATCGAGCACATTCCAACGAGCCAAGAATTGTTGGAATCGGAGCACATATGAAGAAGTTACGAAGAAATGTTTGATGGATTTGTTACAACTCATTGGAAGTCCTTGTCAGCTGCTACACCAAAGTTGGAGAGCCCTATAACGAGGAGGGACCAGCATGTGTGGGACTTTTGTCCCCACCTTGCAGCTGCAGCATTTGGGGTTTGGAGGCCAACCTGGCACAGTGTGAAATTTGTCTTGCCAGGCTGGCTGAACCTGAGGATGGGGAGTCAAAACTTTGACTCTTGTCATGTTCTTGACCATGGGCCTCCAGGGTCCTTCCCTTTCATCCTTCACTTCCTACCCCACCTTCCAACTGTGTTTCAATGCCTTTTCTATCATGCCTCTGATCTTGTAAGCTTCAATCATAGTGACTCTGAGGACTGTCAACTTCTCCTAGGGCAGATTACCCCCCAGTGCGCCAAACGCCATAGCTCACTCGTTTAGCTACGGAATCGAGTGATTCAACTTTCAGTGGAAAGCTGACACTGCCAGCTACAACATATCCGATTTTCAGATCGTTTCACCGATTGGAGTTTTTGATATAGCTATTCGAAGGTCGCGAGTTTTCTGGGCGTCATAACGAAGTGCTGCAGAAATTTCCAAGGAGCCATTGAATCATCTGCTTATAGCCTTCTCTAACCAACAGAATAGACCCTTCTAGAATATAGAATCACCCTGCGTATAGCCACGCGAGGCTATTGGCTTTAAGGGATTACAGCAGGATTACGCTAGATAGAGCGCACCAGTACATCCCAAGCCTGGTCGGTGATATAATTATAATAGCAGGATAAACCAAAGGTTAATGGAAAGGGAGGAATAGGAAATCAAAAGAGATGGAATAAAAGAGAAATGAAAAAGGAAGGAAATAAGAAAAGGCCAAGTGGTGTAACGGGGTCGTACTCTCACACTTCCCCCCCTCAAAGCTGGGTGGTAGAAGTAACACCCTGTTTGACAAGGTAGTCATGCAGAGGACGACGGGCGTTACCCATGTCGGACTCAGGTACCCAGCTGTCCTCAGAAGGATCATAACCCTTCCAACGGATGAGAAGCTCCACGGTGCCATTCCGACGACGGCGGTGTGCGAGCACGGACTCGACCTCGTACTCGGGTTCATTCTGGACGAGGACGGGCGGTGGCGGCGGCGGTTGGCGTCCGACGAAAATCGTGTTCGGGTCCCGATAGGGCTTCAGAAGTTGGACGTGGAAGGCGTTGTGAATCTTCCAGGTAGCTGGCAGGCGTAAGCGGAAGGTAACAGGAGTGACCTGTGCTTCAACGAGAAAAGGCCCGCAGAAGCGAGGTCGAAGTTTAGATGGGAGATGGCTGATGTCCAGGTTGCGGGTGTCAAGAAGCACCTGGTCTCCCACCGTAATGGTGTGATCGTTGCGATGGCGATCGGCTTGGCACTTCTGTTGCTGTTGAATGTCGAGTAGGCGCTTGTG